CCCCCCCCCCCCCCCCCCCCCGAATAAAAATCAAAATCCTATGGTATTCATGCCTCTTGCATAATTCCTGGACCATTATGGCTGTGTTGCTCTACTCTACCACTAACAAAAATAACTCATCTGATGCAGGCACCTTCCCCTGCTGTGCTTAATGTGGCACGTACCTTGCATTCAGGGCAGCGTCTTGGAGGTTTCTGATGGAAAGACGCTTTCTGTAATTCATAATGGTTTTAAATTTGTCACAATCCCCCTGTAGTACTGAATTGCTACAAAATAGTCTGCTGCTGCTGGTTAACTGACTTATACCTTGAGTTCAAGTGGGAGTAGTTAGTAGTGAAATTTAGTATGATCTGTGTTGAACCATGGCTGTACCTATTGCTGTTTGCTTGACTGCACAGTATTTTGTAGTATAGATAAACACCAGTGTGGGAATACCTAAGCTAGCTTGGGTACTAGATGCATTTAGCTGCACTAGTGTGGAACTCTGCACAAGTTAGTTTTCATTGCTGCTTAGGTTAGACATACTCAAGAAAAAAGTAGTCGCCTTCTGTCTAAGAAAATGCTGAAGATGCCTTTAGAAATGTGCATATTATGTACCCAAGAACTAATGCCGCAACTTTTTTGGGGGACAAAAAAAAACAAACCACCACACAAACCCAGAAGGAGTTAACCTCGATACAAAAAGTGGCTGTGTGGCTCAAACAAGATTGTCTGACTACTGCAGCACAAATAATATCTAAAGCCAGGAATTAAGTTTTGCGTGGTGATAGCACCATGCACACAATGCAACATTGCAAATATATTGGTGCAGGTAATAAACCTCAATGGCACTGTTTGCAGGAACCTGGCTGCATCTACACAAGAGGCTGACTGTGCAGTAGCTTGTTGCTACTGTGCCGTACATAGTAATGAGCTACTGTGCAGTCAGCATCACCTGAAAGCTGTTTGGCAATGTTACTGCCCAATGACTCGTCTGGTTACTGTGTGGTCGCTTAATACTTGTTTACATTGAGCTTGATGAGATCTGAACACTTTGGGGATGCCCATATGAAATAGCTGATGTAGGCTTTCTCTTTTTTTTTCTAAGAACAGTACACTTGGCTCACAGTAAGTTTAGAATATTCAAGTAGAGTCAAACAGCTGTAAAAATACTTGTTTTCAAGTGATGGCTTACATTCTTGGAGGGATTAGATGTGTCCATTTGGGAAGAATGTTGAGATGACTGTCCAACTAATTTTTACCTTTTGGGACCCCCAGGAAAAGTGTATTGTCTCATGGCAAAAAACAAGCTGAATTTAGAAGGAAGAGTACAGTTGTGTGAGGGCAGACTGTTTGTCTGTAGTGATATTTGTATTATAAAGCAGCAGTTGACTGTAGTAAGCTCACAGAAATAAGGTGCAGATGATGCTTCTGTCAACTAGTTTCAAATTGTAGAGTAAACCTCGGAAACAAGAGCTAAGTAATGAAAAGGTCTGAAGGAATCAATCGTAGATGGATACCTGAATAGGAGAAAAATCAGTTTGCCTTAATCCTGACTTGATTTTTGTTTTGTTTTTTTAACATTAAAAACCTTGCTTTTCAAAATGGCTACATTTTAAAATTAGGTATAAATAAAAGGGATTGCAGTAGGAGTATTTATGTATTTGCATTCTGTAAAAGACTGGAACTGCCTTTTATTTATAGACACTATTAATCCTCCATGCTTGTCTACATTACAAGCCTTCTGTCAACAGAGGTTCTGCAGCCATGGCTACCATCACAGGAAAACTGCTAGAGTGCGTGCACACCTATAGAGCTTCCCATGGCTCCATGTAGCTCTACTACAGCAGCTATTAAAGGGGCCTCAGCTGCTAGCAGAAAGCTTGGTCACACCTATTTGTGCTCTGGCAGCTTCCCAGGAGTGGCAGAAGCCTTCTGTCATTCTCAAAGCAGGTGTCACTCTACAAGTAGACAAAGTATTCTGCTACCCCAGGGAAGCTTTGAGTGTGGACTTGATCAGTTTTGGTGGAAAAACCTCAAGGGTGTTGTCATATCAGTCCTATGCAGTGATAAACTGATTGTTTTTAGTAATTGCAAAGACAGCATTGGTTGTAACAGCATGTCAGGGAGTAATGTAATGGGTCAGCATAGAAATGGTAATATTCACACTGAGCAGTCTGTTCAGCATCAACACACAGTCCAACAAGTATAAATTAATCTGGATGCAGTTGCATTCACTGTAGGAGCATGTGATTGACTATATTAATTGTACAATATAGAGGTTTCCATGACATTAGGCTTAATTGTGTCATGAGAGGTACTGACTGCTGTTAACACCAGAGACTCATAAGAAATCTGATCTCTCTATGCTGATCTCAAACAAGACTGACAGCAATCCAGGCCAGTGAGAAAAAACAAAATGTTTTCACAATTTGTTAGTCTTCCAACAATCTGAACAGCAGCAGAAACTCATGGAAGTACTTCCCATAGAGCACAGTGGATACGGAGAACCTGCAAACTTGCTTGGGATACAGTATACAAGATGGCTTCTGAAGTTCTCAGCCGTGTTAATACATCAGAAATAATTTGATGTAAATCATCTTGAAACAGATTAGCTCTTGTCTCATTTCACATTTGCATAGCAAGAGTAAATTAGAGACATGGAGTCAACACTGAAAAAGGTTGCATAAACAATTTTTATAGCCTTTCAAATTCAAAAGATCAAAACCATGATCTTTTCATTGTGTTCCTTGACCTACCTAAATCTCTTGACACTGCAAATTGTGAGGAACCCTGGAAACTTATTTATACCTTTGAGTACTGCACAAACTTAATTTTTGCTGCATGTGCTGTTCATAGTGGGGTGATGGCCTGAGTAGCATAAAACAAGTTTTCTGACCTATCTCCAGTCACTAATGGCACAAACAATATTACATGGTCCCATACACTTTTCCATCCTGTCCTTACCTGTGCTGGTGTGGCATTTTGTGACACTGCTAGAGGATTATTTTTTTAGTTGGGAAGTTGCTGAATCTGCAGTGTTTCTATGCTTTTTTTGGTGTTAGCTAGTAAGCACACTCAAGTCACTCTCATTCCATCAGTCGGTTTGCTTGTGTAGCCAAGCATGGTTTGTTTTGTGATCAGCATAAAGAAAACTGAAGTACTGCACACATCTGTTTATTACAATTAACAACACTTCTTGATTCCAGGAGAGGATTTAATACATAGGGAGCATGGTGTAACAATATACTATAAATGATGAAGAGATGAGATACCCACTGCATAGTCAAAGCCAGCTCTGCCTTTGGAATATTGACACACCACCTTTGGAACGGGAGCAGTATTAAACTAATGAATAGTGGATGGTTAGGAAGGCCAAGGCAGAGATGGAACAGGGGCTGGCTTCCCGGATTAAGGACAACAAGAAGTCCTTTTTTAAGTACATAGGGAGTAGAAAG